AAAAAAAAAAACGTAAGGGGTAACACTGTCGTTTTTTTTTCTGGTCGAAATTTTGAGTTTCGATATCTCAGCTCTGGAAGGGTCTAGAGCCTCCATTTTTGCACTCAGGTCTAAGTCTCATGGCCCTCTATCAGAATCCAGAGTTTTGAGAAGATTGGGGATACTTAATTTTTCGCCCCCAAAAAAAAAACGTAAGGGGTAACACTGTCGTTTTTTTTTTCTGGTCGAAATTTTGAGTTTCGATATCTCAGCTCTGGAAGGGTCTAGAGCCTCCATTTTTGCACTCAGGTCTAAGTCTCATGGCCCTCTATCAGAATCCAGAGTTTTGAGAAGATTGGGGATACTTAATTTTTCGCCCCAAAAAAAAACGTAAGGGGTAACACTGTCGTTTTTTTTTTCTGGTCGAAATTTTGAGTTTCGATATCTCAGCTCTGGAAGGGTCTAGAGCCTCCATTTTTGCACTCAGGTGTAAGTCTCATGGCCCTCTATCAGAATCCAGAGTTTCAAGAAGATTGGGGATACTTAATTTTTCGCCCCAAAAAAAACGTAAGGGGTAACACTGTCGTTTTTTTTTCTGGTCCAAATTTTGATTTTCGATATCTCAGCACTGGATGGGTCTAAAGCCTCCATTTTTGTACTCAGGTCTAAGTCTCATGACCTTCTATCAGAATCCAGAGTTTCAAGAAGATTGGGGATACTTAATTTTTCGCCCAAAAAAAAAAACGTAAGGGGTAACACTGTCGTTTTTTTTTTCTCGTCGAAATTTTGAGTTTCGATATCTCAGCTCTGGAAGGGTCTAGAGCCTCCATTTTTGCACTCAGGTCTAAGTCTCATGGCCCTCTATCAGAATCCAGAGTTTCAAGAAGATTGGGGATACTTAATTTTTCGGCCAAAAAAAAAAAAACGTAAGGGGTAACACTGTCGTTTTTTTTTTCTGGTCGAAATTTTGAGTTTTGATATCTCAGCTCTGGAAGGGTCTAGAGCCTCCATTTTTGCACTCAGGTCTAAGTCTCATGGCCCTCTATCAGAATCCAGAGTTTCAAGAAGATTGGGGATACTTAATTTTTCGCCCCAAAAAAAAAAACGTAAGGGGTAACACTGTCGTTTTTTTTTCTGGTCCAAATTTTGATTTTCGATATCTCAGCTCTGGAAGGGTCTAGAGCCTCCATTTTTGCACTCAGGTCTAAGTGTCATGGCCCTCTATCAGTATCCAGAGTTTTGAGAAGATTGGGGATACTTAATTTTTAGCCCCAAAAAAAAAAACGCAAGGGGTAACACTGTCGTTTTTTTTTCTGGTCGAAATTTTGAGTTTTGATATCTCAGCTCTGGAAGGGTCTAGAGCCTCCATTTTTGCACTCAGGTCTAAGTCTCATGGCCCTCTATCAGAATCCAGAGTTTCAAGAAGATTGGGGATACTTAATTTTTCTGCCAAAAAAAAAAATGTAAGGGGTAACACTGTCGTTTTTTTTTTCTGGTCGAAATTTTGAGTTTTGATATCTCAGCTCTGGAAGGGTCTAGAGCCTCCATTTTTGCACTCAGGTCTAAGTCTCATGGCCCTCTATCAGTATCCAGAGTTTTGAGAAGATTGGGGATACTTAATTTTTCGCCCCCCAAAAAAAACGTAAGGGGTAACACTGTCGTTTTTTTTTCTGGTCCAAATTTTGATTTTCGATATCTCAGCTCTGGAAGGGTCTAGAGCCTCCATTTTTGCACTCAGGTGTAAGTCCCATGGCCCTCTATCAGAATCCAGAGTTTTGAGAAGATTGGGGATACTTAATTTTTCGCCCCAAAAAAAAAAAACGTAAGGGGTAACACTGTCGTTTTTTTTTCTGGTCGAAATTTTGAGTTTTGATATCTCAGCTCTGGAAGGGTCTAGAGCCTCCATTTTTGCACTCAGGTCTAAGTCTCATGGCCCTCTATCAGTATCCAGAGTTTTGAGAAGATTGGGGATACTTAATTTTTCGCCCCCAAAAAAAACGTAAGGGGTAACACTGTCGTTTTTTTTTCTGGTCCAAATTTTGATTTTCGATATCTCAGCTCTGGAAGGGTCTAGAGCCTCCATTTTTGCACTCAGGTGTAAGTCCCATGGCCCTCTATCAGAATCCAGAGTTTTGAGAAGATTGGGGATACTTAATTTTTCGCCCCAAAAAAAAAAACGTAAGGGGTAACACTGTCATTTTTTTTTCTGGTCGAAATTTTGATTTTCGATATCTCAGCTCTGGAGGGGTCTAAAGCCTCAATTTTTGCACTCAGGTCTAAGTCTCATGGCCCTCTATCAGAATCCAGAGTTTTGAGAAGATTGGGGATACTTAATTTTTCGCCCAAAAAAAAAAACGTAAGGGGTAACACTGTCGTTTTTTTTTCTGGTCGAAATTTTGAGTTTCGATATCTCAGTCCACGAACCCACTACTTTTATAATGGCAAACATGCTACGTGGAATGTCCATATTTCTGCTCTGGAAGGGTCTAGAGACTCCATTTTTGCACTCAGGTCTAAGTCCCAAGGCCCTCTATCAGAATCCAGAGTTTCAAGAAGATCAGAGCAACTCAAAATTTCGACCCGAAAAAAAAAAAACGACAGTGGTACCCCTGTCGTTTTTGTTTTTTCTTTTGGTGCGAAAAAATAAGTTTCATTGTAATGGACACAGGGTCTGAATGGGTTAATGTAATTTGGCCTAGATGTTGTGTATGCTTCGAAAGACAGTGGTGAAGCTTGATGGACAATCATTTGTCTCATATATCTACCGGTAATAGGGCTTGGCTGTCGTGACGTCATTACTGGCGTGGCGGCCATGTTGGCAGCTTCGCGCATGTTTCTCGCGTACTTGAGCTCTTTTCCCGCTGTCTTCCCGTTTTAGTGTTTTCCTGTAAAATATCCCGTATTTTAATATTCTCATAACATTAACTTTATCCCTTCCATCGGACCTGTCAGTCTCTGTTGTCATGTCTTGCTTTAAGCATCGTTTTGCTTACTAACTTAAGTTTTGCTTAAAACAGCTAACGTTACTAACTACACTTTTGAAACACATAGTTAAAAGTACGTTACATGTGTGAATGGTTGTTAGCACTATAACTGTTACTAAACTAGCAGCTAGGTGGAGCGCAGTTTACCTTTGTCCGGATTAAGTTAGCATAACGTACTGTGCTCCCACTGTTTAGTTGGAAATTTCAAATGGATCCAACCCGTTAAAAGTGCCGTTTTATCCACATACCGGTCCCTGGTTTCCCTATTAAACATATCCTGGTAAATTCAGCATCCTTTTAGGAATTTTAACATCTTTTTTATTTTCTTTCTCCCAACTCAGCTGCTTCTCCTCGTTCGACTTGCTGGTGTGTTTACATTTACAGTGAAGCTGTCAATATGGCAGCCACGCCCCAGAATGCAACGCAGCGCCCAAGCCCTTTTATTTGAACATCCAGATGCAAGCTTTGCTCAATTACAGCACGTGCAAAGGTAAGATAATACCTTTATCGCTAATCCTAACCCTCTTACAAACCTGTTGACATTATTAGATTTAAACCAAAAAAAGAAAAAAGCCTTTCAAATTGTATGTCACTGCACTTCAAATGTATTTTTTTTTCTTGTTGAAATGTTTCACTATACGGGATATTTTAATTTCTTGTCACCACAAGATTAGTTAATTCATAAATGCCATGTCCACTCGTTTCATTTCAAGACAAAAAAAAACACAACATTACACACACTATTGGTTAAGTCTCGAACATAATGGCAGGAAGTCCTCCTCACTTCCCAGAACAGAGAAATCATCTTCAATGCTTGTTTTGTTGAAATTTCATTGATCACAGTCAGAGGAAGAACCCCCTACGACATAATCCAAACCCACTCAAACAAAAGCTCTTGAACAAACACAGAATAGCTTTTACACCCTTACACCAAGACATTAAGAGCTAGGCCTATATTATTAAGGACCTCTTATATACGCAATCATTTTCACAAGGAGCACTTTAAGTAGCATGGTTTCAGACATACAGTACTTCACAATATCTTAGAGGACATTTACAAAATGTCCCTCAGGTAGCATACAGTCAAAACTGTACATACACCCTAAATGTGTTTAAACATACAAGACAGTGCTCTGATATGGTGTCTTACCTGTGTGTGGAAATCTGTGGAGTTTAGTCTGTAAAAAGATATTCTATAGTGGACTGCAACCACTAAATGCATGCAGATTAGACACACACAACACACACCTCCCATGCACATGCACACACCTCCAAAACAGCAAACCATTAATAATACAAAAAACTAGACAAAACTCCACCACCTAGGTTAAACAGACCTGATATAGTCCGGCTATGAGTAACCCACTTCTAACAAAAAATAACCTTGAATTTGATTACATGTCGTTTTTGCCAAAATAACTTGCGAGATATTCCATCATGTAAACAAAGTCAACAGTAAGTACAAGGTGTTTGCTCTCATTTCTTTGCATGTTCTGTGCGTAGCCTGTGCGTCTATTTTTGGCTATGGTTAAACGTATATTCAATTTTCACTGACAGCCCAAATGTTGCCTTGTTTAAGCCTAGACGTCAGGGCTGTTTTTTGACGGCTATTAAACGCAAAACTGCTTGCTGGAAACTCACATTCACACACCTTTGAATTTATTTCCTTGATGTAAGATAGTGATGACTGTGTTCATATTTGTGTGTGCATGTGGGTTTTGTGTTATGAAACTGACAACGTGAGACAAATGGGGTGCACCAAAGACCATCTAACCTCTTAAGTTTACAGACATCTATAGCACAGGTGTACAGTGCATATGTGGAACATGTATGTTGGCTGGAACAGTATATACCTGCAGTAATAAAAGTATTAATAAATTATTTTCATCAACACAACAAACTTACAATCACTGGCTAGAAAGTATCTGTATTTTGTGGCTTATAAGCCTAAATTCAACCGAAAGAAAAAAAAAACAAGATTCTGGTAGATTCTGTTCTTTATTCTCAGATTTTCAAAAGTATATTTTTGATTAACAGTCACATACTTAATACCACAGTCAGATGTTAAATGAATAATAATATATAAAATACATTTGAGTGAAACTTTACACATTTACAAGAACAATATATCTATAGGTGCATATTTTACATGTTGCTGTAAAGAGGGTCTATAATAGTGAGTCACAACATTTGAGATTTTAGAGTTTGGAAATCTGTACCTGAAACCTTTGCACCAAACGGTCCAGATTCTTAACTATTATGCAACACCCTGGTTTCTCTTATCTGTCAACATTTTTATCTGTCTAAAACATCCTCCTCATGTTTCTTGTGAATAATGAATCTATAGTTTCAAGCCTGTTTTACTGCTTTCAGACATAACATTACATCTCAGAAGTGCATCTGTTTGGTAGGAAGGATTTTGATATACAAACATTTTCATCCATTTAACTTCAACAAAAAAAGTTCCAGAATCTTGATTTTGTCTTTATAAATAAATTGAAATTCAACTAAGTATTAGCAGAGGAGAACTGATGTCTGAATATTTAATTGATGGGAGGTTTAGAAAATGACGAATGACAAGTATTCAAATAACCAAGACAACAGGATTTCTGAAATGTGAGAAAAAGACATTAAAGGAAATGTGTGCAGCGAGGGTGTTTTAAACTGAATTAAGTTAAATATGAGCTACAAATAATCTCCACTGAACTACTGCTAAAACTCTCAGCGACAGAAGGAATACTATCACTAAATGTTAAGTGGGTTCTTTTAGATTCGTTCCAGAAGAACTGCTTTTACTGTAAGTATGTTCATTACTCCAGCATGTGTTTCAGATGACCCAACATGACTTGAAAGGTGTGTCGATTTACATCTGTTCTAGTCTGTTAACTCAAGCATATACTTTTAAGATAAGTGACACACAAGACATTGATACAGTAGGCCTAAGCAAGAAGGCTTAAACAGCTCATGTTACATTACAGTGAAATTTTATATTACAGCTTAAAGATAAAAGTTGGGTATTTCTGGCAGATATTGCCCATATAATGAAAGCCATATAACATTTGAATGTTATTTAGAACTCTGATATTACCAGTTAGCAACATAATATGCATAGCTATATTGAATTTTTTTTTACCATCTATGATTTGTGCAGGAAAATCAGGAAGTTCTTCATCCTGGATAGAGTCTGAACAACACAAGAAAAAATATTTGGGCTATATTTCTACATTTTATTTTGTAACCAAATGTTATTTGAAGATGGTTGGGCTAATCACAACCCCTGCATAATTAGAAATAAGGTAATCAATCCACCAACATCATCTGACCTGATCACCCTGAACAAGTGGCAGGTCATGGAAATGCACTTGACTGATGCCGACTGTTGACATATAGGCCCTGTCCCAAATGGCACCCATAACTTCCGTGACATAACGCCGCTTTGACTGTTGGGAAGAAGTTTGCTGCAGAGCCCGCTTCAGTGTGGGCTTGGAAAAAGTGCTCATCGAGGGCGCATATCGACCACAAAGGGGGTGTTCTCGATATAAAGTGTGCCATTTGGTACAGGGCCATGGTCCTCAGTAGATTGTAATGATAGTGAAATCTCGTAAAGCTAACCTTTACAAGCTATGGGCTGCTCTGCTGCTCAAGAATCTCCATTGGTACGGTTTCTCTGAAGTCACTCAGTTTCCTGGAGAAGGAAGACAGTCTTGTGCTGATAGAATCTCTTTTCTGTGTCAGCATACCCCCGTAAAGCTGCCACAGCTTCTCCCGGAAGTGATTTCCCACAAAACAGTACAGGAAAGGGTTTATGGCAGAGTTGGAAAAGCCGAGGCAGAGGAAGAATGGCAGGAGTTTATGCATTACTTGGAGCATCCAACAATCCCACTCCACCCCCAGCTCTACCAGAGCTCCGAGAAATGCCAGCACGTGGAATGGGAACCAGCAAAAGAAAAACGCCACTACCACGGCGACCACCAAACGCAACACGTGGAGCAATCGGCCAGAGTCTTGCTCCAGGTGGTTCGGGGTGGCCAAAAGGTGCACGGCTATTAGACTGTAGCAAGTAGCTATGACAACAAACGGCAAGAAGAATCCAAGGATGTTCTTTGCAAGAGTTAACCCGGTTTGCCAGATGGAGCTAGGGTAATAAATGACACAAGCCGTGACGTTGTAACTGGGAAGAGTGTGTATGTCGCGGAACACAACTGTCGGCAGCGTGGTCAGAGCCGCAACGACCCAAATGATGGCGCTGACACATCTGGCCCGGTGGATGCTCCTACTGCTCTGAGAGTGCAGGGGATAGACAATGGCGTGATATCGATCCACACTCATGCAGGTGATGAAAAAGATACTAGCATAGACGTTTATAGTGACCAAACCACCACACAGCTTGCACATAATCTTCCCAAAAACCCAGTTGTAATCCAGTGAATAATACACGGCCCAGAATGGCAAAGAGCTCAGGAACAGCAAGTCCGACATGGCTAGATTCATCAGATACGTGTTGGCTATGGTTCTTCGGCCCGAACTGTGATACAGCACGCACAACACCAGAATGTTACCAAAAAAACCCAGTAAGAAGATGAGGCTGTAGAAGGCGGGGATCACTTTCTTCTGGTACTGCGAGGTTGAGGAAGACATGTAGTCACATGAATTCGTCATATTATGCAGCAGCGATGACAGATCGGGTGAAGTCAGGTTATGGGCGGAGTCTGTCTCCATGAGGTCACTGCTGATTATGCAGGTGATTCTGAAGTTCTGTAATGAAAAAAAAGTTCTCATGTGAAACATGTTATTGTAGCAAATGCAAACTCATCTATCATACTCCTTCACTAAAACTTCTTGATCCCCTCAAGAAGAAAAAGTACAAGATTGTGAAACTCCTGACCGTTTCGCCCAAAAGCAAAGAAAAAGTCATAAAACAGCTGAATTTCACAGGCTGCCAGAATAAATAAAACCTTACTAAATAAAAGTGAGTCAAATGTTCCTAGAGAGTGACTATGCATAAATTCAAACTCTTCACGGACACTAAAAACACTTCGAGTCCTATTTAAAGCACTTGTCCCACGGTTGTGGATAGCTTCATTGTCTGTCTGTTACGTGATTAGGGCTATAAACCAGAGGGAAGAAATCCCACCATGTACTGACCATCGACAGTCCACTGGGACTGATGCTGCAGCATCCTCTCCTTTACATCTTGTCAGTGTGAGAAAGAGAATCTGTGAGCGAGAGAAAGAAACGTGAGAAAGCGAGTGTGTGAATGTGTGTAACCAAAGCTCTGGTGAGTTTGGGTCCAGCACAGATGTGTTTTATAGCTCTCAGTAGGCTGCTCACAATACATCTGGTTACTGTTAACATAGGCGGGGGGCACATGAAGATATTTGATTGGCTAGGAAATCAGTTGTGGAGTTTGGGGGGTGTACAAACAAGATTCAGTCCTGCTCCCTAATGGTATGTACGGTTTAATACAAAGTAGGTGTCCAGTCATTCTTTTCATATTTTACCAATGAGCTCAATAATGTATGCATAATTGCGCAACATAATCACACACCAGCCAAAAAAAATTACAATCAAGTAATACAGAATCAAATCCTCTAGCAAAAGGCTGACATATTTTGCAGATTGAAGTTTTTTTTAAAGGTAATTTAAATGATTAGATCTAAAAATGTAAATAAATAATTCCTTGAAAATATCTTCAAGTTTTAATATGTTGAATATATTAGGAATCTGCCTGTGTTATAGGATATACTAAGTGAACAAGTTTATCATCATTTATATCCGCTCACCACTGTCATAATAATTCATTTATGAAGATTAAAATTACACACTCTGAGCCCTAAATAATGTTCACAGCTGTTGAAAATAATTCCAGTCATATTTCAAATGGTCCACATGTTCTTAATCAGTATGCCACGCCTGTCAAGTTCACACACTAATTCTGTTTTAGTCGTTGGAAAGCTTAATTATCTATAGCAAATGAAAAATGTAAATTCTTTCAGAATGATGCAGTAATAGATTAACCACTTAAACGATCTAAAGTATTTCCCTCATATTTGGTTTATATTACACGTCATATATCTTTAGAACAACTGCAAAGTCCACATTTGCCCAGAGTGATTCTGCTCCCTTGAAAAAATGACATCCAAACTCACAATTTATAAGTAAAATGAGACTTCCTAATTTCTAATACATTACAGTAAAGAAAAGGAAATAAAGTGATGCCACAGTGCAAATCATGTACCAAGATAAATACTTCAGACTGTGCTAACATCATATCGTTTTCATTAACTGATTTGATAGTTTGTAGGCTGGAATTTGAATTATGAAAGAGATAATAGTAGTAGTAGTATTAGTAGTAGTAATGAGATTAATAGTTTGATAATAATCTGACATGATCGTACTAGCACCTATGAAATTCATCCCACTGGCTAATGCATCTTCTTACGTATTTTCCAGATATACTTCTAATTTTACATTCAGGATCTTAAGAAGTTAACTCAAGGTAACTTAGTCATTTTTCTTGCAAGATGACTTGAGAAATGACCACAGCACTCTGCAGCTTAACATACCTTTCAGTTTCCGGTGCAAAGTTAAAGAAGTCTTCAGTCCCTCCGAGGGGCAAACGTTTCACGCTGAAAAACGAGCCAAAGAAAGCTTAGCCCCCAGCAGACTTTTCCATTTTGGAAGTGGAGTTGATTCTCTGCGTGTGTAAGTATATGAGGGAGTAAACAGCCAACCAGACGTAGGATTTGTTCAAATAGTTTTTACGTCCACATTTGTCCACTGGGAAAAGGAGGGTGGAGAAGGATGTTGTAGGGGGAGAGAGGGGAGGAGAGAGAGAGAGAGAATAAGAACAAAAAGAAGAAGACGAAGAAGTGTTTTTTTTTTTTCGTTTTTTTTTTTTGGTAAATGAAGAAAGAGAGAGAGAGAGTGAAGGACGAACCAGGAAGAAACACTCCAGCATTGCGCACACAAATATAATGACCTGAAAAATTGAAGGCAGATGTGCCACAGTACAGTAGTATTTATATGTGCAGCAGTAATGTTTCACCATCTTTTGCAGTGAATAAACATGCAAATGTCAATACATCTGGTCTTTCCAATGTAAATTTTCTGCATTCCTCCTAATAAAAGTGCTGGTCGCTGCATCTCACGAAAGTTTTGAGGTTCTGCCTCTTAACTGTTGGGTAAAATCGTGTCCTCTATCAAACACTTTTACCCAGAGTGTGAAACCAGATAAGCTTCTTAAAACACAGGAAATTGAGAGACGTCAGAGCCTCTCCATTCACTCTGGTCACCATGGCGACGACCCAAAGAGAGACCCCAGAGGTCATGGTCAGATGTGTTCTAACAATCTCATAACGAGGCAGATAATGATGTCTCAAACGAGGAGAGATAACCGAAATGGCCAATTACAGATGACATTACACAGAAGCGTGCGTGTGTTTACAAATTAGTATGTCCAAACAACTGAAGGAACAGAACATACGGTTTCTCATACTGCCGATCACGCTTTTGGGTTTCTCAGTGGCTGTCAAACCCAGTGTCTGAAAACACTTTCTTTAATAAATCTTTGATCAAAAGAAAACAATGTTGCAACACTAGGGGGATTCTGCTGTTACCAGTAAACTCTACAATTCCAGCTAAGTTGATTCGTTTGTTCTGGACATACTGAGCATTGCTACATCTTTAACTTGACATAATTGAAGTCTGAAGGGCGGAACAATGTACAGCTGTGGCTACTTAAAATAACAACATTTAACAGTAGCATAACTCAAGTAACTGAAATCAAACCAGCAGCTGTTCTATTAAAGAATGGCATTTGTATTATATACACCTTTGATGTAAGTCTAAAGCTGCATTAACATTGTTAAACCAGTTAAACTCCCCTCCTGAAATTCATTATTGGGCACATGGAAGCTTTTGTTCAATTTTATGACTTCACTCATCCATGGTCTGTAAAATTATATTGATCAGCAAGAGGATTAATATTAAAGTGTAAATTGCAGGTTAATTTTTTTTCACAAAGATAATGCAATGTGCTTACTACCAAACATAAAGATGTAGGAGCACATCTGATCTCCTCTGGGAGCTGGTACCAACTGTGGCTGGCATAATAGCTAAAAGCAGACTCTCCATGCTTAGAGTGAACCCTTGGTATTTCTAGCTGATGTGATCCTAATAATCTGAGTGATCTGTTGGGTTTATATTCAGTGAGCATATCTCCAATATATTGAGGTCCTAGCCCATTGAATGATATACCAGTAATAATACTTTAAAATCAATCCTGAATGTAACTTGGAGCCAGTGGTTCTGCTCAGAATCCTGGCAGCTGTGTTCTGTATGAGCTGCAATTGTCTTATGGTCCTTTTAGGAAGTCCAGTGAGGAGTCCATTACAATAGTTCACCCTGCTGGTGATAAAAGTATGCACAAGTTTCTCTTGACTGGAAACAAAGCATCTAATTCTTGCAATATTTTTCAGATGATAGTATGCTGATTTAGTTATTGCTTTGACATGACTACTGAAACTAATGTCTGACTCTAGAGACATGCCAAGATTCCTGACTTGATTTTTAGTTTTTAGACCCCTTGTGTCAAGGTATGCATTCAACTTGAGAACTTCATCTTTGTTTCCAAACACAATCACATTTTGAGTTTCTCCAAGTTCCTTTTTTCTACCAATCTTCTTCCTGACTTTCACTGGAGCATTATCATCGATTACACTTTTAACTTTTGAGTTAAAAAAAAAAAATCAAGGAGAAAATCAACAGTCAGCAGATAGGCTTGGCGTTAAAGATACAAGCATTTCACATTTATTTCGCCTGAAGTTGTTCAGTGAAAACTATAAGAAATCTTTTATTTGTACGTTTGTCAGTTAAATAAATTTAAAAGAGAATTAACAAAATTGATCTCATTGCATTTTACAAAATGTAAAACTTTTCATGATTTGGGGTTGTACTAAATCCCTTGTTTTTCCTTGGTCATGCAGTGCAGTTAGCCACATTTGTCAACAATGATTACTTCAGAGGTTTGATTTTAACTGAGAAACATGAAACAAATGGTTTTATGTGACCACTTGGAAAGGGAACATCACTGTAAATGATCACAAATGTTATACAGAGATGATTTTGACTGAATAAAATAACTTGTCTGAGGAGCTCTAAGTCTTTTATTCACTTCACTCTGATCTGAAGGACAGATTTTCAGGTGAAAGGATTACATGCACGACTCACACAATACAACAAACAAATACAATTATTTAGCTGCAGTTCCTTCTGTTTGGTAAATTGTCAATATCTTCAGATGTCCTTTTTATTTATTTGAAGAATCTTTCAAAAGGATTTAACTGAAATAGATTCTGACAGAAAATGCAGCTCTTCCATTATTTATTATTTTGTAAACTGCACTCTTTTGAGACACCTTTGTATTTTATGGTTGACACTTGTAAAACTTGTTTTAATTGGGAGCTTTATGATTTTGTATCATGGCTTATTGAAATTAGCTCTATGGTACATGTAGTATTCTGGACCTGACAGACACTCACCTGACACTGAATTTTGTAGTGTAGATTTTGAGTCAATTAAGCTCCAAAATTTGGGATCACTATGGATATTTCCGGAGCACTGGTTCATTTGTCTCGGCATCATTCTACAATTACAGCGGCTTCTCCATCTGAAAATGTTCAAAAGACAAAACCTATTACTCATCAATTTAACATTGGATTGCAATTAATGAGAATGTTTGATTGTTAAAGAAAAAGTTGTATAGTTTTCTATAAGAAAAATGTGAGAGACAGCACTTGTGACATAAGTCTTCTAGAGAATTATACATGCACATATTTTATGGGACGAGAAAGAGCAGTATTCTCACAGTAACCATTAGAATCCCTGCTAAATACTCAAAAAAATGAATATTATATAGACAGTATGATTTGATCACATCAACTCATTTTAGTGAGCCACTGAAGCTTATTAAATGTGAAAACACATCTTGACTTACTTAAATGAGCAATGGGTTTTACTCAGGCTGTAAAAGCATTAAGTGAGAACATTTTCATTTTTTGTAATAAAACTAAAAATACAAAATAAACCATTATATAAAGTCAAATGAGGCATACATAAAATATTAGGACTTCACATATTGAAATTCAAAGTACTTTCAAAATTCATCAAACATTATTTGAATATGTTTTACACTTTTATAAAGTATAATGACTGCAGTCACAGTAATACAAATATATCTGAAGAAATGATTAAAATAATGCTGTGAAACATTAAAAATCTAATTAAATCTTAAAAATAAACATATGTTATGCTACTATAATTCTTAACAGAGGAAGTAAGAAGGGGGGCTGAGTGTATACAGGATATTTACATTCAGAACAAAACACTCAAAATTCCAAGCTGTGTTTCTTCTCCCTGATGGACAATGAAATGTGTGAGAACAGCACTACGAGAAACCTGTACAAGTTTTACAACTGCCTGATGTCATGATTCAGTATAATCATAACATCTAGCTTGTCCAATGTGTCTTTAATTAAGAAAAAAAGGACAGACATAAAGTCCTGAACACATTCTGTTCCCTGTCAAAGAGCATCAGCAACTCTCCCAAGTGACTGACAGGAGAACTTAAGAGAGAGGAAGAGAAGGGGAGGGAGAGGAAGGGTCACAGAGGAGACAGGATGCTGGTTTGGGGGAGAGTTTGAAGGGCTAAATTGGGAGCCAGCCTCAATGTACAAAGAATGAGTCACAAACCATCCCAGGCTCAGGGCTCACCCTAAACAGTAATAATATACTTCACTGTGTGAGAATGTGTGCAGTGGCATGTGACTGACTGTGTTGTACATAAAAAACAAACAGCCAAACGCAAATTGTTGATGTGAAAACACCCATGATGTTCACTTACCATTTAACTAATTTGACAAACACCTGATTTGATTTGATCTGACAAAACCACAACTAATAAACATATATACATAGCTGAATTAGCCTTTCTCTGTGTTCATTTCTCATCTTAGAATGGCCAGGTAAGGCTACAGACTGGAGGGTTTAAAATACTATAAAAGATAGATTATCTAAAGGCTTTTTGTGGCATATCACTGATTTTCATCGAGTTATTTTAACACTATAAATAATGTGTTGTCAGGAACCACAACATAAAAATGTATAACTGTGGGTGTTGAAGTACAACTCGCGTGAAGTTGATAATTCCGCGAATGACTGCAATTGCAGATTTCGAACAGAGATATGGACAAAGAGAAAAAACGCTGCACTTCAGCTTTAAAATGTGTTAATAAGGAAATCAACCAGTACCACTAGAATTAAAAACATTATTACAAGCTTACTGCTTTGAATTGAGCAAACACCACTGGTTATGAATTTGTCAAATATGTATTTTGGATAATTTTTACCCCAAACAAACTACAGACTGTTTAATTTATTTCAATTTATCAATTAATTTGCCTACCTTTATATCCTTTGCATTTCTTGGATTCATATCTCCACCACAGTAACATTCTATAGCCTACAGAAAGAGAAATTGATGTTTTGTGATGTTTTATAAAACTATGCAACAAAAAAATTTCAAAAAGAAGTTGTTTCTTTTAACCACACATTTCAGAATATAAAACATTGAACATACATCTTCTAATACTAAACAAAGGAAAAACAATTTAATCTTCATGTAGGCCTACGCATGAAGGCTGAAAAACACGTCGGGAATTAACTGCCAACATTAAAACAAGGCCCATAACATTCTTTTATTGATGGATTTGAAGTAATATATTGATTTGTTATCGCTTTATGGGGTACGTAAGAGTAAATTACAACATTTGATACCCGTTTTCTGGAAGTTCTGTGATGATGTCAGACATTCAGTTGAGTCACCTTACCATCACTGGAACAGGGGGGAGTAGGGGTAAATGGTTCTAAGGTGATGACAACCGAAGGGAAATGAAAAATAAGATAATTATCCTACACACAACACATCATCACACGGAGACAGAGGCCAAACAGGACGACTCCCGTTCCCTGCTCTATGATGAAGGCCTAACTGTCCTAACCTATGGTCCTAACATACAAACATTCATAAATCATTCTGTCGAATGCGTACGACAAAAGCTATAGAAAAGCAAGTCATTGTGCAAGACGTCAACGGTCTATGTATGTCAAATGTGTTGATTAAATGACGATAATAACTGGCAGTTGCCTCAGTATTATTGAGAATGAGGAGTTGACGTCATTTTACAGTGCCCCTCCCCTTTCCGCCATGTTGGTAGGATTCCCACGACAAAACAGTATTGATTACGTGTGTTTTTAGCTCGGTAGTAGAGGAGTTTCTCGCAATACCGCACTGTTTTACCATGCCTGGAAGTAACTGCTGCGTTAAAAACCGATAAAAACCCTGGTAACCGATAGCGTCACCTACCATCATGGCCGACCGGCTCAGACCCCGCCCAAATAGGCACGTGACTCCTCATTCTCAATAGGCCTAACGTTACTCTGAGAAGACAATCGTGATAAACTTTTAACTGCGTGTTGGCCTAAGTTACTGTTAATATAAAGCTGTGTAAGGTACCTGCTGTTGTTTTACACTCTCAGGGAAGAAGCAGAGATAGACAAGTAGCCTATTTACAAGCCCAAAATATAACGTTAATGCAGCGAGTTTTTCTTAGCGGCCTACTACATGCCTGTCGAAATAGTAAATGAAAAATCGGTGCATCGTGCATGTATTTCGGGGCATGTGTAAGAGGATTATTTTTTATTAATTGTAATAATTACCAATCAATTATTTTTGCTAAATAATATGCCTATGCTATAATGCCATTTTTTTGTCCGTTAAGCAGGTAGTCCCATTAGGGAATCAATATAAAGCTCACTCAAGTCACTTCCACGCTGCGATTCGCGTGACTAAACTAACATTTGTTGCGAAATCTCCGTGAGAGAAATACGCGAAATCAAATTACTACGGTCTATTATTGCCCATGAAAATGTTCAATTTCGCAGCAGCAAAAAAATAAAAAAAAAAATCGGATTGGTTCTTTCATTGGACTAAGCATTTACCTGGAAATCTAAAAAGATACATTGTTTTAGTCCGAATGAAATTAAACATAATAACAATTACAAAGACGAGCCAAATAACATAATACATATAAAAAGCAACTATTAACAAACAAATTCAAAAAAAAAAAGAAAAAGTTTCATTAAAATGTATCATTTACTAGACCTGTCATTAGGCTGTTTATACATTTACAGATGTACAAGAACAGAAACACAGGTAAATCCTACAGTATTAGAGGAGCTGGTGTGGTTTGATCTCACACATGCAATAAGTTACCTTGTGTTAGAACATCAAGGCTGTACATCCTACAGTGAAAAAAACAACCAACTGGGATGAAATCACTGACCCTCCTGAACACATTTATGATTTACTCCAGGTCAGATGCTCTAGACATTATAGTAAACAATGATATATGAGGATTTGCATGCATTCACCCTGTTAAAAGCATCAAGAAAATAACTAATAAAATATAAAATAATACAGCAAACAAGAGAGATGTACATGAAAATATGTTTAAGTCAGAGTAAATAAATAAATAACAGTTTTGAAGAACCTTGCAAAAAACCATAAGCAAAGCTATATGGTTTCCCTTTGTCACCTATGGTTTTACACAAAAGAAAATTTAGATTTCTAAACATTTGTTTTTACTCTGGAAAGCTGAAAAAAAAAATCAGACTGTAGGTGGAATAAAATGTGTGATTTTAACTCGATTTTATCTGAACCGGTCTGTAAAGTTACTCTCATGCATGCGTAAAACAATACTGACTCCAAACTAAGGAAATAAAATATTTTTTTTATATGCGACAAAGATGATAGTTTGTATGTACTAAAAGGTCCAGGGCTGGTTTTCTAACATTTATCAGTCCAAAATTAACACTTCTGGGAAACCAGCCCATATTGAGTGAATAAGTGAATGTATTAAAACATTCTTTTTTTTTAAATACTTGACTCTTAAAGGTTTAGTTCAACCAAAATTGAACATTTTGTCACCCTCGTGTCGTTCCAAACCCGTAAGACCTTCGTTCATCTTCTGAATACAAATGAAGATCTTTTTGATGAAATCTGAACAATTTCTGTCCCTCAATAGACAGCTACGCAGCTACCACTTTGACGAGCTATCACTTCAAAAAGTATATTAAGAGATCGTAAAACTAATCCATATGAATTGAGGGGTTTAGTCAAAATATAAAGAAATCCAGTCTCTTCAGAAAATTTGGACTCTTTGTGAACTTTTTGGTAACGCTTCCTTTTACAGTCCAGTTACCTATGTAAATACTATGTACTTATTTTAGTAACTACAATTACTGGGTAATAACTAGTACTAACCCTGAACCTACCCCTGTTCCATGTACTTACCTTATATTAGCCAGTACTTTCTAGGTAAGTACACTGTAAGTACCCAGTAAGTACTGTACAGTAAAAGGAAGCGTTACCAACTTTTTGAAGCGTCAAAGTGTCAGTCGTGTAGCTGTCAAAGGAGGGACAGAAAGCTCTCAGATTTCATCAAAAAGATCTTCATTTGTATTCAGAAGATGAATGAAGGTCTTACAAGTTTTGGAACGACACGGGGCAGAGTAATTAATGACAGAATTTTCAATTTTGGGAGAACTAACCATTTAACTGCATTGGACATACGTTTAATCTGCTTGTATATATTTATAAATAATAACAAAATAAGCCTCTCTATAGGTCCAAAGGTTCCAGCATAAAGCAGCTTTAGTTTAAAAACAGCATTAGTTTATTACTATAATATTTTATCTGTTGGTTAAGCAATACCTCAGACTGTGAAGAAAGACACTTGGTGCTAAAATCCTCACATTCAGTTCTGATTCATCTCCCACAGAAACATTCAATCACTGTGCTCCATTTGTCAAATCCATGAGAGAGTCTGAATCATTCAGGATCCCACCAAAGGGCAAATGTCATGAGGTGCATTTTTATGGAAGAAAGAAAGAAGGTTCCTGGACCTAGTGCATGTCACATGATTGGCCTGCAGCAAGCTTCCCTGATTGGCCATGGAACCTTAAGGTTTTTTGGGGAATAAGGCTTTAAGTAAAGGACTTCTGTGGCTCTCCATGTGGAAAAGGGAGAATGTAGTGGTCATGGGGAACACCTGTGCTTTCCATCGATGGGAGGAAGACGGTCTTACGATCCCTCAGAGGTATGAGTGAGTGTGTTAGGTAGCGCTGAAGCAGTGTTCAGAGGGTGTGCTAATTAATGCTGTTTGAGGCATTGACTTCAGGGCTGTCCAGTTCTCTGTGGAATGTCTCATCAGGCTGAAGGTTTGTTCTGGAATATTCCTCGTACCATTCCTGCAGACAAAAAGAAACAAACACTTGCCTATCTGGAAATTTATGCTTTAAAAAAAGAAAGAAAAACAGAACATTCTGAACCAAAGACATCAAAGTATAGCTTAGCACAACATAAGATTATTTCTATAAATAGCTGTCTGATTGATTACAACTTCAAACTTTCGTGATTTAATTTTCTGATCCTATAAGAGAACTCTTTGGGAGTGCTTTAATTAAAACTTCCAATAAAAGGTTCAAATTAACATTATGACCACAACGCTACATTTTTGCAAATTCAAAAGTGTGGCTTTACCATGCGTTTCTATATGTGAGGTTTGAGTACCTGAATCTCCTCCTCGTACATCTTCATGCTGAGGTCGCTCTTGGTACGTGACCTTCGACCCTGAAATACTAATGAGGAGTGCTGTGAGCAAAGACAAAAATGATCCATTAGAGTTCGATTAATCTAATGACAAAACAAAATTCAATGCTCTGAACATAGACTGCGTGTACATGTGTGCATGTACTCACCCCGCTACGCTCCAGAGCCACACACATGTCCTGCAGTGAGCTTAGGTTGGTGACGCCCAGTGTGTGTTTATACAAGTCCAGAGTCTGTAGAGCTTCAGTCTGAGACACCTCTGTCTCAAATACAATCCCCTTTTCATCTATTACACACACACACACACAAACACACACATTCTCAATATTAGATCTCAGTGGAATAGGTCGCAGTCACACCGACTTTGTCACACTTGTCATTGGATGAACTGGACTCATTCAGAACCTTCTGGGTCGTCCAGCGGCTCTCTGTTCTTCCGACTGTAGTTCATCCTGAAGACAAATGCATCCAGTATGAAGGCCACGATTATCGTCATGACTACCTGCATCACAATCACACAGGCATTTACACTCAAAACAACACAGAGCTGGGAGAAAATATTAAATTTCACTAAATCGGGTTTATAACACACATATATAAATGGGTAGCTGATAACAGTAGTGTGACATTCTATAGTTTAATAACATTCTAAACAACATCATTCTACAATTGTAAGAGTTTTAAACATGCAATTTGGGTCTAATATTAATTAAGCAACTACATAACTATTCTAATTTTCGTTTTCCTTCTATTTTATTTTAACTACAAATATGAAAATCATTTTTGTTATGTGAAAGTTTATTTGAAATTTGTTTGTTTTAATTTGGAATAATAACCCTGATTTACCGACATACACATTCCCTTACCATGGTGACAATGTAAAAGGTCATGAAATAAAGGCGAGTCCAGTGAGAAGTTTCTGATGTCAAACCTTCCTGTGAAAACAAGGATCAAAGTGCTCAAGAACTACAAATGGCAGACAGATGCTCATTTACTGACTGGCTCATAGGATCCATAGGCTTCTGCTATAAACATACACACACTGCACTGTCAAACACTTACAGATGTTAGCATTACTTCACATTTAAAACAACACTTTTAAACAATGTAATGTTCATTGTTTACAATGACATAGGTACACAACAATCTGCTGTCTGACATTTAACCCTCTCATTATCTTTGGTATCTTTTTAACCCTCAAATGACTTTCTCAAATTTTTAAAAATGTTCTCTTTGTCCAAATGGTATGAAACTTTCTTCAGCTCAAAAAAAAGGGGAATGATATCTGTTTTTATGTTAGCATTAAATGACACTACTTGTCTTCGGGGTCCCTGGAGACCACGCATAGTAAATATACAAAATTCATCATCAGAATCAGAAACAACGCAGAACACATAGACAGAAATAAAGTGGCACACTTCAGTTCCAACAATGCAAAAAACATCCACAATGCGTGCACACACAGAAACACACACAGGAATACATTTGTAAGGCTATACTATGCATACTGCCTGCAGTGCACTGACGCATAAACACCTGCAGTGCATGGTAAACGAGACTGTATGAGATGAGACCACCAATTATTGTTCGTAGTTGTTCAATTTTTCCCCCCCATTCACTGTTTTTTTTAACTAAATTTATTTTTTTAATGCTCTATTTGATCATTTGTTATTACTGTTCAGTTCATTGCATTTTGATGCTCATGTCATGTATTCTTACTCAATATGTAATATAACTGTTCGTTTCTGTTCTGTTACAGTTAGTAACTGACATGTTGATTAAAATTGCAGAATTATATTAAAAACAGATGATTGCAATAAATGATAAAATCTAAAGACTCCAACAATTCTCTTTGTAACATCTTGTTCAGGTTTGATTCTAATCATAATGTAACATTATTGAAAAAAATGGGTCAGTGCAAAAAATGCTAAACTTTGACAAAAGTTTTTTTGTTTTGTTATAATTGTGATTTTAGAATATTTAGATATGAATCCAACTGGAAAAACTTGTGAAGATGTATTTTGATTTGTCAAATAGCATATAACGGAGCTCTATAGCCATCTAGTGGTTAAAGGGATTTTTTTTTACTACATTTTCCAAAAAATGGCCACAAATCTTCCATTAAACCATGTAAAATTATCCATGTTATCTCCATGAAGGAAAGTTAGAAATCTGGGTCTTTTATAAGTGAATTTTACATAAAATGCTGTTTTATTTATTTAAAAAAAAATTAAATATTTATTTATTTATTTATAGATATAAAAACAATGCACAAATGTTGAGTAAAAACATTAATAAACAGAGTAAAATTACATTTGTAAAAAAAAAAAAAAGAAAAAGAAAAAAAACCTTTTTATTCTGTTACAAAATAAAATGTCAGTGTTGTAGTCGAGACCACCTCACTCGAGTCCGAGTCTAGACCGAGACCAGAGAGAGTCGAGTGCGAGTCAAGACCGAGTCCATAGAGAGTCGAGTCCGAGTCGAGTCCGAGACCAGAGACGGTCGAGTCCAAGTCGAGACCGAGACCAGTGAGGGTTGATTACCTAATTTACTTAGAGAAATCCTTTTTTTTTTTTTTACTGAATTTACTTACAGTTTAAAAAATATGATCAGTTTAGGGTAAAAAGGCCACATAGTAGGTGGTGTTAAAAGCAATTTTATTACAATTTGTCATGCGCAGTTGCGCACTAGAAAATCACCAATCACTGGGCGTGTCAATCAATTTAAAGAAATATTTTATTAACATACATTAATAATCATGAAAAATATTTTGAATTGAACACGAGTGGACTCGGGAATAAGTCCGAGTCCTAAAAAAAAAAAATGTTCGAGTACGAGTCAATTCCGAGTCCAAATGCACACGAGTCCATGACAAGACCAAGACCATTAAAATATGGTCTCGAGACCGAGTCCGAGACGAGTCCGAGTCTCGAGTACTACAACACTGTAAAATGTTATTGTCTGGGGTCCCGGGAGACCCCAAATATAACTAGTATAGACACAAAAGAAGATAATCAGAGGGTTAATTCCAATAAAAAGGAGGTGTGCATTTACACTCACCATTGTGATGTACCAGTTGTTCACCACTGTTAGCTCAAAAAGAGTGACTGAAACATGGAAGAGAAAAAACACTCAGTTACAAATTACACAAAGTTATACACTGAAGTGAGAGGAGTGTGTAGTGCTGCACATACCAAAGCTGCTTAGGATGTTATTGAAGTTATTGAGATAGTAATATCCCTCTTCAACCACGGTTCGGTTGCCAATGGTCACATTTATCTGGCGATACGAGTCAGCAACTGTGCTATTCCTTTAAGAGACAGAGAACATACCATTGAACACACCACTACTCAATTGTTTTTGTAGCTTGGCATCTACTGGCCATCTTGTACTTTCATAAACATTCTTTAAAATATCATTTTCTGTGTTGCACACACCACACTTGAAATAACACAAGGGCGAGTAAATGATTTCATTTCGAGGTAAACTATTCTTTCATTATGTAACAGGACAGCAGTAGTAGATCATCTTACATTTATAAACTGCATACGTTCAAGGTGATGTTCAGTCAATTTTGATTTTTGCAAAAGAAATACATTTATGATGATTAAAGGGACCTACTTGCAGCAGTTCGGATAAACAACCCCAGCAAAAAACTCCATTCCAACGATGGCAAAAGAATAATAGAAGATAATCAGAGTCAGACCTAGACTATAGAGACAGAGAGTGTTATGAGAGAGAGAAGATCCTTCATCTGTGACTAATGAGCTGACATGGATTATTATTTCTGTACCTGGCCATACGCGGGAACAGTTCAAACATTGTGTCCAGAACATTACGATAGCGCTGTTTAATTTTAAACAACCTTGACAAGAAATAAGAAAAAAATACTATGAAACTGTTAAATAAGGAAAATGTCTGTTTCAGCTATATCAGCTATGATTGATGAAAATATAAATTATAAAAAAGATATTTAATGATTCACACAAAATGACAGAGTTAAAGACACTGACAGAGTTAAAAGTTATTACACTGCAGATGTTATCTACAATGGAGTACAAATTTGGCATTTTTCTTAACTGATTGGTTTTTAATATAACGCAATAAATTGCTTAACAAGGATAACAATTTGCCTGAAAGTTGAACAAATAAAAAATGTCATGTTTTTTGAGAGGTTTGAATTCGGTTTTTGATTTCAGGTTTTCAATTCAGTCTAAGACTTCTGGGAGAACAATATGTAAATCAGAAATACGTCAAAACACAAAAATTAGTACACACACCGGAGGAGCTGAAAAGGTCTCAACACCACAATGAAGTAGAACGGCTCCATGTCAAAGGCCAGAGCAATCAATCCCAGAAAGGCAAATACTGTTACTGAAAAATCAAAGCTGGAAAAAGAAGCACACACATAACAATGAGGCAGTTTGAATGTGTGTGTGTTAGTGCTTATATGAGTGTACGTGTGTGTACCTACAGGTTCCATCCTGAGCTGAAATATGTCATTGGACCAAGGCCTGTGATCTTCAACAAGACCTCAATTCCATAAACTTCATTCCACAGACATATCAGCAGGGGGAAAAAATGCAAATGGTATGCATATTCATTAAAACATTGACATTTGGATTTACTAATGATTTCATTTTAAATAATTTCCACTTACTTGTGAGGAAAATAATGTAACTCAAAGGGACAACGTGAGTCCATGAGACACCATCTGTGAGGAGAGAAGAGCTCCCTGAGAGCCAAATTCAATTGGATTCACACAGAGAAAACTGTTAATTCTATGAATTCCCCATTCAGAAACGCTTGTAAATAGAGGACTATTTACAAGCGTTTCTGAATGGTGAATTCATTGAATTATCTAGAACTGCAACACAGCTGCACTGCATGTCCTACTGTTACATTACATTACTAAAGCAGATCTTACCATTTACCATGTTTGTCTCCACTAGGATCCAGATGCCATTAATTGCTACTACCAGATCTGTTACAGGTCAATAATGAAAAACAGACATTATTATTAGAAATATTGGAATGAATATAGTGCAAGCGCAAGAAACTACTACAATTTAAAAGTTTGGTGTCTGTGTTTAAGCAAAATAATACTTTTATTAAGCAAGGATGACTTAAATTGGTCAAAAGTTAAAGACATTTATATTGTAACAAAAAACAATACGTTTTACTGTATCTTTGGTCAAATAAATGCAGCCTTGGTGAGCGTTAGAGACCCCAATCTGTACAGTATATAATAATATAAGAGGTACTAGGAGGTATTAAGAGAATATCTGACAAATATGAATTTTTAAAATACACATTTTTCTATTAACCCAGAAGCAAACTGGTTTCAAAGAGAATGTATTCTGATCAGGTATTGTATGTTAATATCTAAAGGGGTAGAGCATATAACACAGTATTTAAGAAATATAACTTACACATTGCATATTGAAAAGCTTTGGATTTCACAAGTAAATTCATTCCTGTTAAAAAAAAGAATAATGATCATAAAAAATATTACGGTAGATAAATATTTGATGCCAACTAATCATAAATGTACCTGGTCATTCTGAGCAGATCATTAAGTGTAAAATACTGTAACTAATACAAATTAAATTAAAATGACAAGGAAGCCTTTAAAACCTTTGAAAATGAGGAATGCTGTGCGAGGAAGATCATCAAACCAGTACTCCCCACTCCGTCGAGCCTGCAACACACACATACACACACCAGATGTTCTGGCTCAAGAGGGTTTAACATACACGCTGGAAGTATAATCATTATGTGACGGTGTGTAAAATCTGACCTTCCATTTGAGCCCAATCACTTCATAAAACTTATAAAAGTCCTGGAGACTAAAACACAAGCACAAATACACCTTAAAAACTCATCATCTATTCAAAAAAATCAAAAGAATGTACGTGTATGCACTTGTGAGCATGTGTATGTACCTCAGCATGGTTGCGTCTGAATAGTTGAGGGCTTTGAAGGTGAGAAAGCGATCCCGTGCAGTCATTCGTGGACGATAGAATCGCATCAGTCCATCAAACTGCTTCAAAGAAACTCCATCTGGCCTCTAAATAAAAGACACACATGCAGATTAATCACATTCACTTTCATTCACAAAGTAAACAAGGCTAAAAAACAGTCCAAGAGATGGGAAAACAAAGAGCGTTATCTGTATAAATCTCACCTGCCGACTAAGCAGCAGCTGGAAAGCGTGCTCCATGGCAGATCGCTTGTGTAAAAGCAGAGATTTGAATTTCATCTTCTCGACTCCATTAAAGGTGTCAAAAACTACTGCCAGGAGCTGAGAGGCAAAAAAGAATAGCAAACTCAAGGTAAAGGCTAGTTCAGGCTGCCCCAAAAGACCATTCCAAAAATGAATACATTATAACAAACAGATCTGATGTTGTCCATTACTGACCAGATTCATGATGAAGTAGAGCTCGATGGACAGATACACAATGAAGAAAATGCATGACCAACGATTCTTCGAATATGCTGGCATCATCACATCTGGAAAACTAGTGAAGAAAAAAGATGAAAAAAAAAACTTGTAAATCTACTAACGACTCTGAGGTCTTTATAGATGAATAGTTTACTATAAATCATTTAGCAAACACCCTCTTATTGATATTGACTATTACTACATTTTTAACAGTGACAGTCTGAATGTAGCAACCTGGGGTTAAGTACGTTGCTCAAGGGCATAATGATAACAGAGGATCTGAGAAATTCTCTAGTTAAAAAAACTCCATGTGTTTTTGAACTGATAACATTTGTTTTACTAGCTCCGTTACAGGAAGACATAAAACAACCCCACTGAGACTCAGGGTCATGTTATCTTAGCCAGGATGTGTGCCCCACAGTGAGGCTACATACTTACTTTGCAGTGGTCAGAAGGACGAACAGACTCACAATGCTGTTCTCAAGTGTGCTAAAATACTGTAGAGAGAAAGAGAAGTCTTCCTGAGTTTGTACGTGTGATGGAGAAAAATGTGGAACATAAAGGTGAGTGTGTGTGACTGTGATGCACTAACCGGGTCAGCTGAGTTGCCTGAGAACAAGCAAAATCCCAGGATGGCAAAGATGACCATGAAGAAAAGCAACAGCAGAAGAATATCAATGAAGGGAGGAAGAGACTGAAATATCTGCCTCAGGTTTCTGAGGGAAGACAGAAATAGAGATATAGTGTCAGAATATCACTACAATGTATCCAGTCAAGGACATGCTGTGCAGAAATTTCCTAATGTTAAAGTGGATTTTAGGCAAAATCGGTGTAACGCACAACCTCAAGCAGCTTATTGCTTTTATAAGATCTCAGAAACAGCAATAGAATAAAAAACTTTTAATTTAATAAATAATAATATGCCTGCGAACGGCTCCACAGTAACGGCAGTCCACCAAAAAGATCGGTCGCAGGGCTCTCGTCACACGCAGGTGAGATGTCTGCCGGACTAAGACCACAATCGCCTCGATGAATTGAAGAAACAGGACACACGTCTGAAATGCACACAAATCCAGAGAGGATATCAGGAAGGAATCTTGAGCTGAACTTCTGTGAATATGAGTCAATGAATCTACAAAGAGGAAAACATACACCATTTTAAATATACATAGTCTATTAGAAAATCGACACACACCTTCACCATGGTCCTTTTATGCTGTATAAAGGTGTAAAAGCCAAGCCATCGGAGCTTCATACCCAACTCAAATGCCACCAACGCCAATGCCAATAACTCCAGTGTCGCATGAATCTGATAAGAACAAAGTATGAAGTCTTATTCATATAATCGAAATCCACAAGCATACAAATATGTTTTACAAAGGCATTAGCCTTGTCTGGACGGTAATTGTTTCTGATGGGGACGTAAGGCATGTTCAACATTTGCAGGGAGTTGTCTGTGATTTTATTGCCATCCGAACCCAGAATGTCTGTTTCTCTTCCAAAACCCACATAGAAATCCCTGGCCGAATTAACTGCTGTTTTTTTAAATTACATCATCATTTTGAGAGATAAAATGCATTACAGAAAAGCAATTCAACTATAGCATGTCTATTTTCCTATTTTTTAAACATATTTAAATAACTAAATAATAAATAAGATATTTCTATTACTAAAATAGTCAATCATACGACCATGTGAGCAGCCCGTTGTTTCATAGAATAGAAAAAAAAGAAAAGAAAACGCCATCCAAATGCATGACTTTTATCAATGAGGTGCCATGCAAATCTATAGATGTCCAAATGAGAAACAAGTCCTGTCTCAGTATGGCTTTACACACTACCTTTCAAAAGTTTGGGGTCGGTACTCTGTAAGATTTTTGAATGTTTTTCCAAATAAGTGTCTTATGATTACCAAGGCTGCATTTATTTGAAATAAAAATACAGTAAAAAGCATCATATTGTGAAATATTATTACAATTTATTATTATTATAACTTAAAATATCTGTTTCCTGCTTTAATACATTTCAAAATGTAATTTCAATATTCCTGAGGGCAAAGCTGATTTTTCAGCAGTTATTACTTCAGTATGCTGATTTGGTGGTCAAGAAACATTCTTATTAGAATCAGTAGAAAACGAAAAACAATTCAGTCTCTTCAATTAATATAAATTTCTAAATAAAAGCATTTATTTGAATTAGAATCATTTTGTATCAATGTAGAAGTCTTTACTGCCCCTTCTGATCAATTTAATGCATCCTTGCTAAATAACAAATTAATTTTTCTTCTCAAATCTTAAGGCCCTTGCACACAGAGTCCGAGATTTTTTCCGTTCCATTCGTGATTCAGTGGCTCTGAATTGTCAAAAACACCATTCAAACTGCTTGCTACGAATGCGAAAAATGCAGAAAATCAAACCGATACGATTTATTTTATGACGGGCAAAAGTTTCGGAGGCAGTGCCCAAACGTGATTGACAATGACATGAGGTCGTATTTATTTTTTAACGTGTGAAAAATTTCAAACGTGAATTACGGATTCAGTGTGCAATGTTGTGTATGCACACAGTGCAATAGAAGTCACATACATAGACGTCCAAGCGCAGGAAGGGGACGGCAGGGGCTCTGAGAGGGACAGTAGCATGAGTACACAGCGCAGTCAGCAGCTCCATCACATAGAAAAGGTGATTGTGAGCAAACAGGTAGGCGCTGAGCGCGTGGGCACTTCGTGGATGAGTGAAAAACTTGTCATTATTCTCTCCCTCCTGAGGACAAACACAGACAAATGGAAAGGAAGAAT